CCGGTTAATGTAAATACCGTCTCTTGCTACGTATGCGCAAACTATCGAGAGGAAATTTAAAAGACCCGATTTGTAGATTATAGTCAATTCAAAATAATTTGTAAATGTGTGCGAAAAAGGTAATTGACGACATTACCAAAAGCAACATTGTTTTAGTATCAACTCAGAAGAAATTACATTTATCCCGAACGAAAAGCAGTCTGTACAATTGAAAAAATGGAATTACGTACAATAACAGAAAATCATCTTAATTTCGAGTTTAATTCGTACCTTTCGGTTTTTCAAACATTTGTCTTTCGCTGTGCATTGAGTGTCCACAGAGATGAAAACGCTGGGCCGCAGAACTAAACACACGCTAGAAACTAAAATAAAAAGTTTATCGAGAAAAAAACTAACGTACTACTGTCCAATAAATGGCTGAACATCATATAAACCTGCTTCATTATGTAGTTTAAACGTAAAAGTACGTTTGTGTCAAGTTAGCTTTACCCTCGTGGCATCCACACACACGACGACGACGACAACCAAATGTTTGTCTGAAGAAGGAGAGCGCACATTTCCGGTATAATTTAAAAGCTCTTGCTACGCATGCGCAAACCAGGGAGAGGAAATTACGTAAACTTAATTATTAATGTGAAAGTATTTGTAGATCTGTGTGTTAATAAATAAAAATGTAAATAAAAACTGAAGTAAATAGAGAACATATTAGATGTTTATTAATAACATTTTAGCTCTTCAAACTTGCATCTTGATTTAAAAAAATTAACAGTAACGTTTGTATTTTTTTATTATATTCTTTCCACTAACTAGTCAAGACTTGACAACACTGGGTATTTCTTTTCTGCATTCAAAAATGCGTCATTTTTGTTTGTGTGTCCATACAATGTTGCGCGCTGTGACGTCACATCAGTCAGAGTTTATGTCAGTAAACAATCCTAACATAGGGGGCAAAAGAGCCAATCTATATGAATTATAAATATATGCTAATAGTTGTCATTTACTCATATGTAGACATATATATTCTAATTATATTTATATCTGTTTATTTAACGTAGATGCACTCTCACTAAAATATGTCATGGCTGCATATATATATATGTGGAGTAACTAACTGTCCTCCTATTGTGATGTCTAAATAGATTGTCGTGACCCAGTCGTAATGCTGTTGGCAGGCAGTACAGTGGACATTCCATATTCTTCATGTCAAACTAATTATTATCCTATAGTCAGTGGTGGCACGTGTTAAGTGCAATCATTTTGTGTCACTCACCGGATCTTTAGCGACAGAAATCAGAAGATCTCCTTCTCTGTTGTACTTGATCTGAGTGATGGACCATTCTTGGTCTGCAGTAGGATGGGTTTCTGTACAGAAAAGCAATATTTACAAGTTCATTTCATATTTTCAAAAAGGTGCAACAGCCCAGCTCAAACTCCTGTCAAAGGCCAATTCCTTACAACTATATATACAACTAAACTATATTCATTATTTTGGACGATCATTTTAACTTCTGACAAAGGCTAACGTTAGCTGCCGAGACACACATGCTAACGCAAATTGGACTAACAGTCTCGACCGAACGACTACCATTTCAAACAAAATACAACCGACAATTGTTTTCAAAAACCCACCATTTCAATCAATCAGATGTAGCCACTGTGCCTAGTTTTTTTTACTTTTTACGCCCACTGGAAGCCCAAACTTGGTTCTAACACTTGTAACACTTGTATCTCATGTTCCGGATTCGCAACCGAAAATAAGGGCCGTACAATTTATTCCTGTTTCCGTTATACAAATGTTCCATATATATCAGCGTGACTTTTTTTATTTCTTAAGGATTTTTTGTGATAGTAAGACTATAGTCTTGCTTGTTTTTGGTAATATTTTGACATTTTCAACTATAATGTTTTTTGGAGTTTTTAGCACAAATTATTCACTTGGAACCATGTTTTGGGGCCCTCAATAGTTGACGTACCAAAAAAAAAAAAAAAAAAAAAAGGATTTCAAGTTTCAATCTAACATAGAAACATATTACCATAACATATTTTTGAAGACTTTTTCAGGAACCTAGTAGTATAGTATTTGGATTTTAAACAAAGTTGAAGTTCTGAAAAAATATATTTTTCCTGAATTTTAACCATATAAAATGTTAGGGCAAATTAGTGCATTTTTATTCAAATTTTATTTTTGGAGACTTTTTCAAGAATTCATTGGTGTAGTATTTTACTGTGATCAAAAGGTGGCGTACCAAAAAAAAAAAATATTTTTTTGAATTATAACCACAGAAATGGACATAGCTAAGTATTTTAAGGCAAATGAGTGCATCTTTAGTCATTTTTGGGAAAGTTTTAATTTTGAAGATCTTTTCAGGATCTTATTAGTATAATATTTTATTGTGATCAACAGTTATACATACCATACCAAAAAAGTATATATTTTCTGAAATGTAACCGTAGAAAAGGAAATAACCAGGCATTTCGATAGAAATTTGTATTAATTGTTGAGAAGTTTTTTGTTGAGAGTTTTATTTTGTGAAGATAGTAATTTATTAGTATAATTAGTTTTGATCATTCCAACTACTTTATCCCTAATCCTAACTAATCCATCCATATCACAAACCTTAACCCTAAGGCTAATTCCAACTTCTCTATCCCAATCCAAAACCCCAAACTAAACCCCACACAAAATATTCACTTGGCAGCATG